TGCTTCTTGACGAGATCAGCAAGGTATCGTGGTTCATTTGTGTGTAATGAGTGCAACGTAAATGAATTAGTTTAAATTTACAATCTCACGGTTAATTTTCAACAATCTTGCCGTGGTGCAGTTCTACAATGGAGTCACTGCCTCACGTCTTGTGCGAGCGCCACATGTTTCGTAGCATCGTCACGAACTGGCAGCAAGAACCATGGCCACAACACCATCTTTGTCGCACAGCGCTGCTGCCTGTGGTTTGTGAGTTCCTGGCGAACTGTTGCAGTGGAAAGAGTGAAGGCAAGGCACAAAAACGATACTGCAGACAAGCCGTGAGTGTATCAAGTGGTATCCTCACAGCCTAATGAGTCCCAATGTGGTTATTCCAGGCATGGGAGGTTAAGGAGCCACGGTGCTCATTCAATTCCACACTTGTCCCACATACTAAAATACAGCGCTCGTTAACACGGCCTTTTCCTGTCGGTTGCTGCAATGAGCCAGATAGACTCGTATCTACGACCGGCAAATATTTCCTGTGCAAATCAATTGCAGCAACAATTGACTTTTCATAAATTAACCCAAATTATTTACACAGAGAATGATAAAAAAAACATGTTCACAATATAAATCTGACCAACCGCACAACTTAATTAGCATATATATTTAACTGAACTATGGCGTGTAATTTTAAAGTCTACTTAATCCATACATAAACTCAATTTAACTGAAACTGGGCCAATAATCTACACATTTTGTCATGACCATCAAACCTGGCTGCAATTATACGCTTTGCTGGCGGAAATTTCACACATGCGAGACCTAATCCCTGCTGTAGTAATGATGAAATATATAATGTATACGGATTACCCTTAGAGTGGTATGGACAATTTGTTTCTAATGCTCGTATGTTTATTTCCCTTCTTAACAAGAGCAATGGGAGAATGGCTTCACTGTCTTGAATGTGGGCTCACTGGGTGACAATCCCCATCGTCATCAGTCATGGTCAATCCACTGCTGGATGAAGGCCTCCCCAAACCGTCGCCAACCCTCACGAACCTGGGATGTGGTGATCCAACTAGCACATGGGCACGAGCTTATTTCATAGCTCCATCTCCTTTGTGGAACGTAATTCTCTTTCGGACGCATTCCATTCCTTGGCTGCCACTCCATCATTATTCTTGACCATCGGCCATCGTGTCTTCTGCGACGCATCCTACCCAAGCCCACTTACTTTTCTATATACAGTGAGGGAAAAAAGTATTTGATCCCCTGCTAATTTTGTACGTTTGCCCACTGATAAAGAAATGATTAGTCTATAATTTTAATGGTAGGTTAATTTGAACAGTGATAGACAGAATAACAACAACAAAATCCAGAAAAACACATGTCAAAAATGTTATAAATTGATTTGCATTTTAATGAGGGAAATAAGTATTTGACCCCTCTGCAAAACATGACTTAGTACTTGGTGGCAAAACCCTTGTTGGGAATCACATAGGTCAGACGTTTCTTGTAGTTGGCCACCAGGTTTGCACACATCTCAGGAGGGATTTTGTCCCACTCCTCTTTGCAGATATTCTCCAAGTCATTAAGGTTTCGAGGCTGACGTTTGGCAACTCGAACCTTCAGCTCCCTCCACAGATTTTCTATTGGATTAAGGTCTGGAGACAGGCTAGGCCACTCCAGGACCTTAATGTGCTTCTTCTTGAGCCACTCCTTTGTTGCCTTGGCCGTGTGTTTTGGGTCATTGTCATGCTGGAATACCCATCCATGACCCATTTTCAATGCCCTGGCTGAGGGAAGGAGGTTCTCACCCAAGATTTGACGGTACATGGCCCCGTCCATCGTCCATTTGATGGGGTGAAGTTGTCCTGTCCCCTTAGTAGAAAAACACCCCCAAAGCATAATGTTTCCACCTCCATGTTTGACGGTGGGGATGGTGTTCTTGGGGTCATAGGCAGCATTCCTCCTCCTCCAAACACGGCGAGTTGAGTTGATGCCAAAGAGCTCCATTTTGGTCCCATCTGACTACAACACTTTCACCCAGTTGTCCTCTGAATCATTCAGATGTTCATTGGCAAACTTCAGACGGGCATGTATATGTGCTTTCTTGAGCAGGGGGACCTTGCGGGCGCTGCAGGATTTCAGTCCTTCACGGCGTAGTGTGTTACCAATTGTTTTCTTGGTGACTATGGTCCCAGCTGCCTTGAGATCATTGACAAGATCCTCCCGTGTAGTTCTGGGCTGATTCCTCAACGTTCTCATGATCATTGCAACTCCACGAGGTGAGATCTTGCATGGAGCCCCAGGTCGAGGGAGATTGACAGTTCTTTTGTGTTTCTTCCATTTGCGAATAATCGCACCAACTGTTGTCACCTTCTCACCAAGCTGCTTGTCAGTGGTCTTGTAGCCCATTCCAGCCTTGTGTAGGTCTACAAACTTGTCCCTGACATCCTTGGAAAGGTCTTTGGTCTTGGCCATGGTGGAGAATTTGGAATCTGATTGATTGATTGCTTCTGTGGACAGGTGTCTTTTATACAGGTAACAAGCTGAGATTAGGAGCACTCCCTTTAAGAGTGTGCTCCTAATCTCAGCTCGTTACCTGCATAAAAGACACCTGGGAGCCAGAAATCTTTTTGATTGAGAGGGGGTCAAATACTTATATCCCTCATTAAAATGCAAATCAATATATAACATTATTGACATGCGTTTTTCCGGATTTTGTTGTTGTTATTCTGTCTCTCACTGTTCAAATAAACCTACCATTAAAATTATAGACTCATCATTTCTTTGTCAGTGGGCAAACGTACAAAATCAGCAGGGGATCAAATACTTGTTTCCCTCACTGTATCACCAACAAATACTGTGAAGCGTTAGCAAACACTACATTAAGGACGAACACTACATTTGTAACAACGTATACAGTACATTTATCCACATGTGTGTAATTATTGTGTAGATGAAAAGTGCCAATACTGCATATGAACATACTTACAACCATTTAGCAAAAATGTTTTTTTTTTACATTAAACTAACACATGGCCGTTTATGCGAATCATTCAACAGCTACAACATGGGACATTTTTGGCAGTATCAAAGTATGCAAGGAAACATGCCTTGCAAAAGGTTTCTATTTGGTGTTTCAATATCCTAACACTTGTTTTATTGCCTGAAAGGGCAACATCTATTTTCATACATTCATCAGCTGCACGTTCCGAACTGTTTTGCATGCACACACGATAGAGTGGTACTCGTGTGCATTGAAACTTCTGGCCGGGCAAACGGTACATTGCGATGTAAGTCGTCCAATTCTGAATACCACATCAATGTAAATATCTGCACAGCCGTGATGCTTCTTTACCACATGATCGTGTCTCGTTTTTTCCCGTTATATCCATTTTGCATGTGGAGCACACAAAAGACAGACTCGATAATGCCAGAGGCTTTGTTTAGATGTGTGCTTGTGTCGATGACATATCAGAATTGTACCCTTTGGAATCCCCATTAAAAACAGGTTTTAAAGGTTTAAAACTAGGCGCAGGAAAGGTTTTTTTTATCTGATAGATTCCAAATCAACGTATGCATGTACTTAAGTACGATGACGATAGCTCCTAACGTTTAAGTCAAATGTAAGTCCATTAAAGGCAGAAACAAATGAATATTCACAGGAATTTAGTTGAAAATCTGCACTTTGTACACTTAGGAATGTGGCCGCTTGATGTGTACATTTACAACACACGTTTGTCAAGCCAACTTCAGTATCTTGTCTAACATGTCATTTTTGGCAAAATAAAACGTGCATATTTTAACTGTTTACTATTTTTATTCTACCAGGTAAGGCCCACTGAGCTATGTAGCTCTTTTTGAGAAGCCACCTGGCCACAAGTGATAGCCCAACGAAGTGGCTTATCGCGTGGAAATTTAAAGCAGCCAAATACTCTAAACGTCAGTTTCTAAATGTGGAGGGAAAATCGGAACACCCGGTGAAATATCCACACAACCACGGGGAGAACATGCAAACTCTAAATGTATAGCAGGCGTCGGGGTCGGGATCGAACCCACAACCTCCTACATACTCGGCGAGGTAGTTAACATCTCGCCACCGCGGCGTCAATGATATACACGTTGTGTGTACGCACAAAAAGTAGTATTTCAAATGCAGTGTAATGTTTCGGAATTACATTGTATATTGGACAGCTTATATCCACCATTAACTCCTCTGTCATTACAATTACGAGGGTTCCATTTACTTCAACAACAACAAAACTCAGCAATTTAAATTGCTTCTAAATACTTTCCGTGGTTTGCAGTCATCCAGAACGGGTGTGTACCGTGTCTCCTGTTCTACATTAAAGTGGCACGCTTACTACAGTTTGTCCTTTTACATGCTCCACTAAAAGCCACAGATCAGGAATGTTTCCAATTATAAACATCTGTCTCCACAAGCATATTTATGTTAAAGAAACTTCGGCGTATCAAGTTATATCTCGCCGCTTTTACGTTTGTGTTTACAATTAAACTGTACATGGCTCCTATTCAATAGAGTGCCCCTTGCATTGACTCAACTCTGCAAGATTATTATATATATCTCACATATATATGAATATCGTGTAGTATTTGATGACAGATGTATTCCCATTTACACAATGATGTAAACCAGCAATAAGGAAACCATTCTATAAACCATTGTTTGGCAACGTTATAATCATTTATTTAACAACGCTATGACGAAACAACACTTCGCTTAGTTTAACACGTAGGCTTTCGCGACCAATATCATTCATATTATTGACGCGATCTAACCCAAAAATATCTGTATTTTTCTGGGTTAGATCGCGTACATATTAACGCCATCTAACCCAATATTCACGCGAAGTAACCCAAACACAACCTGTATTATGAACACTTCACTTAAAAACGCCGTCTCCGATGCTGTTGCCCGTAGTATCTTCACGGTGCCACACACACACAAAAAAAAAACGACATTTGACGATGAAAGTTGTCATACTCACTCAAGATCATTGTTAGAGAAGATGGTTTCACTTCACACACGTGCCACGTCCGGCCGGTCTGTGCTGCGATGGTGATGCCCTCTTCCTCCTGCCGCTGTTGCTGCCTCTTGCTCTCCCTGCTGCTGCTACAGCTGCAGGCTGCTCCGTGTGGCCGAAAGCGCGTTCACGTTGCCCGCACGCACGCACGCGCGCGCGCATGCACCGGGCGTGCGGGGTTGGACCCGGTGGGCACTTCCACTCATTCACGACGTTGACGAGACAAAAAGCTCCCCCCGAACCACCACCGCCGCCGGGGCAGCGTGGGTGCCTCGCTTGCGATTGGCTTGGCGTGAGAGACGCCAAGTCACTCGCTGAATGCGCTGTGCTGTGTGGGAGCGAGGAGGAGTGGTGGTTGTGGCGGTGGCGTGGCGGTTAGCGCGCTGCGCTACGATTTTGAGCCAGTGCTGGGCACCCACTAGGTCGACCCAGCCTCAAACGAGTGTGAACGTCGCCACTGGTGGGGAGACAAAGGCGGCCGGGCGTGGTGTTTGGCCACTCGCCTTCATGGGTGCTGCTCGTTAACGGCACTTGCGCCAGCGGTCTGTCAAGGCTGTGCGGGGAATCTTTGTCTTTGCGCGTGTGTGCATGTGGGTTTTATTATGGCGGGCAATAATAGTGGAGTGAGTGAGTGAGGTTTGAATTACAATGCTCCTGAGACTAATAATCTTCCCGTCCTTGGGAGAGATTTCATTTTCGCAAAATCTGTTAGCCAAATTCATTAGAAAACACATATTTCACGTATAGTCTTTTCATCCATAATGTATATTGCTCCGTAGAATTCTCGGCACAATATACCACAACAATCCTTTGCCCAGGAACAGCTCTCGCAATGGGCTTATATTGTAATAAAACTCACAGGGAGCGTAATTCAGACTGCATATGATTCCACGCGCTCCATTCGCAGCCACGCTAAATACAATTTCTCGTGCCAGGTTCCACCATCTGTTGGCAGTTAATAAAAAAAAACACACGCGCACTTTCAACTTTTAAAAACGATTAAATCAAAAATGTACACACAACACTCAACATGCTTGTACACACTTTCTTTGTAATGTTTATTTTGTAAATCCACGATTAGCTGCGATTTTTGCGAGATGCAAGGTAGCAAGCCCCCCCCCCCCCCCCCCCCCCATTACAGTATTCGTAACGATGGCACACGAGACATTAAATCAGCGAGCAAGGAAGGAATGCTGTAAAATCCCCCGAGGGAAAAAGGCTCGCATTTTATATCCAGGATACAAATTTCAAATAAACCTGTCCCGAGAAGCCACGGAACGCTGTCCTTTTCAAAGAGCATATCTTCCCAGCACTAACCCCGGGGGACCACACACTGGATCATGGCATCTCCCTGTTGGCCCCTCATGCTTTCACTGCAAAGGGATTGATTGGCTGATATTGCCACTGGAGTTTATTTACGTACGCGTTTATTTATTTGTTTATTTTTCTCTGCTTTAACGTGCATTGGCCTGCTCGCATTTGGTTTATGCCTCGATAAGAAAAAACACAGTAGTGTTGTGCCAGTACTCCCATAATTTTTTTTTTACTTTTTTCAGAACAATTAGGAAGTTACGAGTTACAGTCGTGGTGGTAATCAACTCAACCCGTCATCATGTCTGCAGTCAACGAAATTACTCAAAATTTGGGAAGTAGTGGTTGTTCTACAACTGGTTCAGGAACACCAGTATAAGGGCAAACAAAAGCTTTAATTGTTGCTTGTACTTTTGTATTGCAGTCGGTCCTGAATACCCTGCATATTACTAGAACTCTTCGTGGAGTTTTAATGACCGTTTGTTTGTTTCTCCCATAAGGCAATAACGAAAGTATTTGTTCCTGGGTATATAGAGTACATAGATTCCGTCTCAATAAGTTATGCAGCCATGAGACACGATCAATGATTTCAAACTTTGGAGTAAGTCATTGTTGGTGTTACGCAATGGGTTAGTCAACGATCGTCTGCATGCAGCAATGAGTATAGGTTATATATTGACGCAAGATTGCAGTTTGTGTCGAACTAGGACTCATATTTCAAGGAGAGGGTCCTTGCCTGTGATGTCTGTCAGTTTGTCAGCATTGGTTCAAGCAACCCTGACTCTGCTGTTGAGACAATGCATGTTGAAACCGACCCACGTTTACTCGTGTCCTTACGGAAGGCCTATGTGGGTCCATGAAAAGTGTGAAAGATATATTTTTTTAATTTTCTGTGTGGATGGACAGATATTTGAAGGAGATATATTGCCTGCTTTATTTTTGTTCCATGTATTCTCTACAGCGACGCTAATGATTGTTTTGTGTTAACTAAGAATAGATTGTGGTGCACGTTCCCTCAATTGAACCGTGTATTTTTAATGACTTGGAGCCATTATACAACTTCGGGGCCATGGCAGAGGATTGTGAGATTTGGATTCGTTCGGTGAAAACACCACCGGAGGGCCGACTGCTGCTACAGTTACGATTAAACCAGGAGAAGAATACTAACAAGGGGAGGTGCCTGTGCCAGGCTTGGAGGGGGGGCTATGTCTCAATTAAAACAGTGAGCCATCACCTCACAGAGATCCTGGGCATCAGCCCCAAGCCTGCGCCCGAAGCACAACGGTCATCAGATATGGTGAGTTTGATCTCAGCCAGATCGCTGATGGCTCGATTAAAACTGAACAAAGTTTGCATGCAATGTCTTTGGGAGTGCTGCTCTGAGCATTTTCAAACAACGTAAAATTACAAATATCCTCATCAGAGCAGTGTTGTGGGGTTGGGGGGGGGGGGTAATATAAGTGAAATTAATGACAGCTTCCTTGTTTGCACTTTCTTTGGACACTAGCAGCCAAGGAAGGGCAACAAATCTTAATGAGCAGCTCGAATGCTCAATGAATATCGAAGCTCCATGGACTCAGCGCGTGCTAACAAAAAAAAATGTGTGAGCCTTCCGTTTCAATCAATACAATGTTAGTAACATGGCAGAAGAGGACCAGACAAGAGATATATAATTGAAGCGAAAAGAGAAATGGAGACAAAAATATAGATGCAGTGAGATGAGCAAAGATAGATGCCGGCAAGAGAGATTTGTTGCCTTTTGTATGCCAGCTTACGTTTATTTTTTTAATTTCAATTTGATGTTTGAAGCCCTGCAATTTCTTCATAATATCGAAGCCCCTTGAGCTACTTGTGACCCTAAGCTTTTGCTTGGGTTGCTCATGGCAACTTCTGCTGGGTCATCCCTGCTTAATCCCTCTCTCTTACTGTACACAAGCTCGTGGTGGTGATGGCCAAGACACAATGTTGAAAAAAAAGTGTGTTTTTATATTTCCTTATTAACATTGCCAATGGACGGTACACTCCAACAAAATACCCACACATGCCCGGCGTTACAGTTCGTCCACATCATTGTTTGCAGGGCTCGGTTCGGAGATTTTACAGGATTGACCGTTCTTTTCTTAAAATGAAACATGCGAGGAGTGGTAAAAGGAGAGGGAGGGTGGGTGGGGGGTTAGTTTTAAATAAAGTTTAAAGCAAGCATATGTTCGGATAAACTAGGTGAAGTGTTAAATTATCTTAATTAAGTAAATTTCTGGTACTTTCGGTAAAGTCACGTAGATAGAAAAATAATAAATAAAAATCACTACGTTTCGATCGCAACACAGGCAATCTATCTACGTGCCTTTACCGAAAGACCCACAGAGTATGAATTCCTGCAGTCACGAAAGCTTTAAGTCAAGCTTTCTGGCGTGTAGTTTTAACACAGTACGTAATATTTGTGTTGCCCGTATTTGTCTTGAGCCTGACTTTGCAGCCTGCATTACGGAGTTATTTGTGCATTTGCCGCCATCCATTCTCACGGGCAACAAAATGACGACGACTTCAGCACATCTGGGGTGGGTAAACGTTTTCTCCATTCATTTTGAGATGTCTTTCTTTTCCCAATCTGATTTTGGGAAAACATCTTCGAATTGAAATTGTGAATGATCTTAGTGAGAGCGTGGCACCTCATACCCTAGTAGCATGTTTGCTGAAAGCATTGGTCAAATCAAGATTGAAATAATTGGTGATTTCCGTTGGAGGTACACAATTGAGAAAAGTAAAACCCCAGAATACGTGTACCCCAGCACATTTATTGGATTTAGACCGCGATCGAGCGTGGTGAAGTGCTTTTGTAAAACTGAACATGATCGTGAAAAGTAAGATACCAATACATTACAATACAATGTGAACAAAGAACAACATGAATGCAATAGAGACACAAGGACACAGTGTACGGAAATACATCCTAAATCCAAACGTGATTGACTTTTGTGTCTGAACAGATGTTCGCCTACACTGATTTAACTTAAAACTGTATAGACACACAAACTCCCTTCACTCTAAACATTAGATTTCTTTCGATAACCTTACATTATTTGCAATTTCATTAGACGTAGATTCTTGTTTATATTTTAGTAATACTAGTTCATGAAGCCTGCCTTCGCCAGGCAAAAGTTTTCAATAAATATAATAATGGACCTGATATGATTTTTTTTTTTTACAATTGTTATTTACGAGCAGACACGAACAACTTACTCAAAAAATTTGTTTTTCCGCAAAAAAATTACAAAAATTTTTGACGGCTTGACTCAACTTCTTATATTTAAAGACGTACCCATCGGAAACCGCTCAATTTAACGATTCCATCCTTTTGCATGATGAATATTTATTTATTTATTAACTTAATAGTCTGTGAGGGGAAGTTCTTATATTTGACCGTTTTGTAATTATTCTGATTTGAACATAAAATGCGTCTTTTTTCGTTCATAACCGCTTCAATCCGAAATATCTCAAAAACAATAAAAGACAGAACAATGGTTCTCACTCTCATTGTATTTGCTGTTAAACGCTCTATCAAACGAAAAAACCCGCAATATTATATTATGACCGGTTTCTGTAAGACACCACCCACAAACATGTTCATGGGGGCACTTACAACCGAGATTTGGGGGCCTTGAAATGAAAAAAATCTCGGATTTTCTCCTGTTGTTTGTGTCCTAAAAGCTACCTAAGCACCAAATTTTAGCTTTCTACCTTGTCGGGAAGTACCCTAGATGTTTTTGAGACGTACATATTAAGGCATTTATTTATATAGAAGATAGTTGTCCTATACTTGTTCAATGTTCATGCTCCTGGAGCTTAGTTGTGTGGTTTGTGCTTTGTTCAGTCTGGAGGTAAATCTGCCCCAGTCGATTCGCCCTGCAGGCATATTGCGTTTGGGCAATATTTTAAATTCTTCTTCGTGTGATAAAAAAAAATGTATCCTAATTTTGGTTTGTTTTTCTTTAAATGAAATTGTGTTGATCCCGGTCACTTACGCAAATGAGACTATCCTGGCCTATTGAGTTCTCACCTGGTTAAACAACATACATTTGAAACGTCACCCTCTCACTCTCAAATATAAGCATGCATTCAACTTGTATGCCAAAGATAAGTGCAGAAATTGTTTTCATTTCCTCATTGTTTTAGGTATTGTGACATATACGAATGATACGAAAAAAACCCTACTGTTCATAAGGGGGATCACTTTTGAAGTGCTATTCAAACAATTTTTTTTAAAAAATAATTCACTGAATAATTCACTATTTAAAATTAAAATATAGTACAAGTCAACATTGAAATCGGTGACCTGCCAGCAGACGAAAGAGAGCGGGTGGTAAAGTTTGTAGGACAAACTTTGAGAAAATAAATTTTCACTCCGAATTCAAAGATATTTATAGAAACACACAGTTATCCATTTCAAACGAGGCTTTATGTTCAAAGAAGCTAATCAACACGGGTTTAAAGTTTACGTGTGTAACGTACGTGTGTTTTTGAACCGTTAACTTTACCCCCTGCATTGGTAGCATCCTGCCGTCCTCACGATGGACAATCAACGGGGAATCAATACCAGAATTGAGAGAGAGATTAGACCAGGC